GATATGGGAGTGATTTTCTGTGCTCATTTCTTTTTTTTTTCTTAATAGTTTGATGTATTTGGGAATGTTTATGGCTAAATTTATGTTTGATTTCTAAATTCCCAATCAGGGTAGAGAGTTGCCTGATTGATATGTTTCTACTCTTTATTTACTTTGATTTATTTTTTGTTGTTTTGGATTTATTGTTTTATGACTCGTTAAGAGTAGTTATTTAATTTTATTTACTTTTCCTTATTCTTCAATTCTGAGTTTATATTTGGCCAATATATTCTCTATCTATGGGCTTGCTTGATGAACTAAGAAGAGAAAAGCGAGTCTAGACTTAAGAAAGTAATCATAAATAACTAGATTAGAAATAATTTATAAGTTTATGGCAACGTTAATTGTAGTCTAATGGTTTAATTAAAGGGTTAAAATTAAGCAATAGTTGATTTAACTTTAATTAAATACAACTTAATCTATTGATAGGTAATTAATTTATTTTCATAATGATTGTTAATTTAATTGAATAGGAATAAACTCTGGTAAGTCAAAGTAGAGCATCCTAATAGGTGAATTCGATCCTTGGCATTTTGTTCTTAAAGTCTATGATTATTTACTTTTGTTTAATTATTTTAATTCATAATTTAGTTTTCTAAATTGATTATTGTTTGTTGTGTTCTAATAACAAAAATCACCATTTTCTCTTGGGTTCGACCTAGAATACTCCAAACTTATTACTATATCAATTTAGCATGCTTGCAAGGCCAACCAATGGGAAGGTAATGTGGACATTTTGGTATTTCATTGGAGCAAAATACATTAAAAAATCAAGCAGGAACATTAGTTCTAAGATCCTCAAATTCATAAAGCCATTAGTTTTACAAGAATAATAAGATGAATTCATTGTCCAACGTCTCAAGGAATAATTTTAAGTGAGAACTATAATTTTTTTATTGTCAATATATATACATTTATTAATATAATTCTATGTGTTTTGCATAGGAATTGAGCAACAAAAAGAAAGAAGTATATGAGAAATATCCATACCCTTACAAGAAAAGGCATATAAGATACGCAAAAATTGAGCAACAAATGGAATGTTAATATTTAGGCTATATAATTTTAGTTTATTTTATGGATATGTACAATACTAATATTCAACTTTATTTAAATGCAAAGATCAAGCAAGAGGGTTTAGGAGCAATTTTTGTTTCATGTCATAAGCTCTTCATAAAAGGCTGAACCAATAAAGAAGAAAATTCCATAATAAGTATCTCATATATTTATTTGTTTATTCAAATTTTATACTGACATGTATTTTGTCTTTTTTATTAAGGTGAATGTGTTGTTCCACTCAAATATGAATCAAATAATTACAAGATCATTAATAAATTTTGATGCAACCTACACTTGAAATATAATAAAGGTGATTAATATCATTATTGAATTTAAATATTCATAATTTTTTAATGCATTAATACATATTTATTGATTCTTTAATTTGTAATGCCCAGGACAAATGAGAAATAGGTTGAATTGTGGCTTTTCTATGATGAGGTTCATGAAGGATATCATTATCCATAACGAGAGCACAATTCTTGAGACGGTATGCCAACAATATTTACTTTACAATTACTAATGAATTTAATTTATTAAAATTAATTTATAATGAATAATTTATACATTGTAATACTGTGAGGATTCTTATATTAAAGAACTCACGAATGCACAAATAAATAAGGTAATTGAAGAGTCGGTATATGTTTCAAGTATGGTCCTTGAACAAAGAAAAAAATCAATAGAGTTAGTGAAAGTAGGATTAATGTTTATGGTTTACTAGTTTACTTTAGAAATTAAAATTAGTTTTTGTTACTAGTTGGTAAATTAGTTTATTGTAGAAAACTCTATCCATTGATTTCTTGATAAATTAGAATAAGAGATGCATTTTTTTTCATTCATTTTACAATTGATCACAATCCAATTCAATTGGTATTTATATCTAGAAATGTTGAAATTGCCATATAGTCATTATTTTGTGTTGTTGTTACAAGAACTGCTATAAATAACAGTTCGTCTATTTAAAAAACCATAGAATAAATAATGGTTATTTCCATAACCATGGGTAAATAATTTATCCATCATTTATTATTAACTATCATTTATTCTAATAACTAACGTGGAATAATAATTTTTTAAATAATAAATTATGGATAAATTATTTACCTGTCATTTATACTTGGAATAAATACCCTTCATTTATTTTGTCCTAATTTACAGAAAAGACCAATATATATATATATATTAAATGACGGGTTAATTAACCATCATTTATTATCACTATAAATTATGGGTAAATAATTTGTTAGTTTTTTATGCTTGGAATAAATGTTAGATATTTTAAATACACATCATTTAATTTATTCTATCATAATTTACAGAAGAGACCAAAAAATATATTTTAAATGACGAGTTAATTATACACAAGAATAAATAATGGGTATATAACTGTTATTTATTAAGGAACTTTAAATGATAGACAAATAAATGATGATTCATAACTATGGCAAAAATAACCGTCATTAATACCTAATTTTGTAGTAGTGTTTTCTAATTGAGATGGCCTATTAAATAGGGGTAAACATAAAAAAAAGTGTGTAACTTTAAAGACAATTAACTAACTCATTAAGTGTGTAATTCAATTAAAAATGCTTTATAATATTGAATAGAGCTGTTGGCTTGTTTTTTAGGATTACGAGTTAGAGCGTTGTGTCTCTTAGGGGTTTGTCAGGTGTGCTAAAGGAGCATGTCCTCAAAAGTGTTAGTCAAATCAATAATCATGTGGGTTCAGAAGATTCTTTATCACAATTTCCTTGGAGTGCCAAGTGAATGTGAGAAATTATAAATATGCCAAGCAATGTACAAAGATTGATTGTATTACTGGTGCGGTAATATAACTAGTGCTCTATGAAAATGGGGAGAAAAAATGAATACAAACTAGCTTAAGAAGTTGAGCTTGCATAGATGATGCAATCCGCACTAGGCGAACCAAGCATATAAGGTCAAGGTCAATGTTCGTGTTTGTATTGTATAAGTTTGGTAGATTTGGTAAAGTGTCAAGAGCCTTTAAATTACACGATCATTTGCCTATTTATAGGAAAATAGCAATGGCATACCCTTTTAAATTTGAACTTTGGCACCAGAAAGAGTAGGTAATTGTCTATGCCATTAAATCATGAAGGTGCACTTCATCATGTAGAGTGGTGAGAGTGAATGAGTTGTGAAATTTGGGTAATGGGCAAAGTAGATAAAACTAAGTCATTAGACTCCCTAAACATGGCATTCCATTTCAGTTCACAGGGCTGGTTCATTGCTGGGCTAAAATTTTCCTTAGATTGAATTTGGCCTTGACTAATTATTCTTTTAAGCCCATCACACCAAATGTAGTCCAAATGCTAGGGAATAGTTGTTTTCCCAACATAATTTGATTGTGAAAAATAATTTATGATTTCTATTAAAAAAATATAACTGTTGGTCCTTATAGTTTTATCATACTCTTTTATTGGTCCCTGTACTTTGGTTTTGCTGGTCGTTACAATTTTTTTTGTCTATGACGTTAGTTATTTTATTTTTAAATATGCCTAGAAGGATCACAATGTGGTACTGACAATATTAAATTATCTAATGTGTAATTAATGGTGTTGAGTTGAATGTTAAAATGAGAAAGAAAAAGACAGAGCAATCACAAAATATAAAGTAATGAAAATCAATTGGAAGAAATTGAAGACTACACCAACTACACAGAGACAAAATAAACTCAAACATCAAACATTAACAAAAAAGAATTCACAATCACTTGCTTCAAAATCAGAAAAATAAAAATAAAATAGATTAGAGCATCTTTTTATGGTGAATGAAACTAAAGCAGAGATGAAAAGGCGAGTTTAAAGTTTGTAAAAGCAAACCAAATAAAACCTAACCTTCCTTTGATGTGTGGCTAAATGATATTAACTACACGTGAGATAATTTAACACGATTAGTATTGTATCATATTCCTCTAGACACAGTTAAAAATAAAGGAGCTAACATTATACGTTAAAAAATTATAAGGACTTGGAATAATAAAAAAAGTACAATGATAAGTAATAAAACATAATAAAATTGTATAAAATAATTATATTTTCCTTTTTCATTAACATATCATCTCATAGGACTCACCACTACAAATTCCAATACCCAGTTTGTGAACCATGGTAGCATTGGACGCTGGAAAGATCCAGTTCTAGGAGAATAGGCTGCAAGTCACTAGCCCCACACTTCACTGAGGGCAGTCATTCTTTTGATTTAATGATAATATTGAGTTTGACATATTAATATTCTTTTTTTTTTCAATTTTCTCCATTAATTTTAGAGAGACTTTGTAGAATTATTTCATTCATCTAATATTTTTTTAAACAACATGTTTCAATAATATTTAAAAGAAAAAAAAAATACAATAATAGGTTCCTATATTTTGATTGTATTTTGTTTTTAACGTCTAAAATTTTATTTTGTGGTTCCCAATCACTTTACTTTGATCCTTTCATAATGTTAGTCCCTTTAATTTTAAAAATGCACATAAAAATAATAAGCTGATACTGAAGAAGTTAATTTCACTGTAACTCTATCAACCCATTTGATAACATAATAAAAATATGTTGACATGAAAATAAATTGACTAGATATGATTAAAAATAAAATGTAAGGGAGGAAAATTTTTTTTATATTTAAATTAATCAAACATATAAAACATGTTAATGTGATACAGTTTATAGCTGACTCTATTTATCAGGACAAGACTCATTATTGTTGTCATTGTTGTTAGGTCAATCAAACAAAATGCAGGAGAGACGAAATCGGAATTATTAACGCATCTGTGAATAGGTCAAAATAGTTAGTTATCTTTGGGTGGGCCAAACGAGTAAATTGTGAAAAGTATAAAATACAAAACCCAACTGAAGTCCAAAAATGCACTTCCATTGGCGCTTTCCTGCCCTGCAACCATTTTCATGTCAGCTTCTTGCTTCTCAGTCACGTTATTTCGATCCTTCTTCACAATTCTATTCTCTCTGTATTCGGACCCTCCACTCTCTCTTTCTGATCTCTCATCCTCTCCTTCGTCTCCTGTGAAATTCCTTTTCCCTGAATCCCCATTCTGAGGAGCAGAGAAAATGTCTCACGGCGATACCATACCTCTGCACCAATCGTCCCAGTCCGACATTGATGAGATCGAGAACCTCATTCGTGCTAGCGTCCAATCGGGCCCCACCACTGTTCTACCTGCCAGACCTCCCAGTCCCCCTCGAGCTTCAATTCCGGTATCTTCCTCGCCTTATATGCCTGCTGCCATTCCACCAGCGCCGAAATCTTCCAACCAGAAGCCATCGGCTCTTCCCACCCCTCCTCCTCTGATTCCAACTTCGTCGTCTAGCAATGGCCGTCCTAGTATCGCGCCCAGTGGATTCGGCATCCCTCCTGACACGTTGACGGAGCCGGTCTTGGACACCGTTAAAAGGGATCTGACGAGGATTGTTAATAATCTGAAGCAGGTTGTGTTCCCTAACCCCTTCCGTGAGGATCCAGGGATGGCTCTGAGGGATTGGGATCTCTGGGGACCCTTCTTCTTTATTGTTTTCCTCGGTCTGGTTCTTTCATGGTCCGCATCTGTTAAGAAGGTATGCATGCAGTTGCAGATAGTGTCTTCATTATTTTTGGTGGCTCATGAATGAGCAGTTTCTCATTTAAAAGTTCATTTTGCGGAGCTTACGAATTAATTAATCTTGGAAATTTGAGTATCTTTTTTTTTCTTTTCATTTTTCAATTGAGATTGTGAAGCTAACATCACGTCATCACCTGCATTGCTTAGCCAATGCTAAGAAGAACTGAGGGTTTCATTTTGTCTCTTAATATGAGGAGTGAATGTAGGATTCTTTATAATATCCTGCTGTTTTTTTTTTCGGCCATTGGGAATTTCTATTCGAATCAAAAGAAACACCAACGACAGTACTGAACTTCTATCCTGCTATGTTGAAACCTTGTTATTTTTTATTTATCATTATGACATTTCACGGTGATTTTCCCCCCTTCAAATAGGTGGTTCTGAACTTCTGATAAAACTTCAGCTGATGATTCTGATAAATTTCTCTGGATGATCTTTACTGGTAAATGGTATAGGAAATGGTTTAAAAGGATTCTAATTAATTGTACTTATTTATTCATTTAGAGAGTTTATGGTCTTGTGGATGTTACTGTCTGAAGACTCAGACCAATGTGCCAGAATGACGTAAAGTAGGAGAGATTTCTGCATGCTTATGGTGGACCAATCCAACAGTACCAAACCAATGGGAATTGGCAGTTGGTTTGATATTTTCAGATATCAGATTCTCTTAGGACGGTTAGTCTAAATAGCTTTAGTGGCCATTATTTGGTGTATGGTTGGCATGATGCACCTAGTCTATGCAGGAATACTCCATAAAAGAGTCTGTTACAAATGTGTGTAGCTGTGAATGTATCTTATGATGGAACCATTTATTGGTGCATTAAAATAACAAGCCATTTATTCAGGCCCTTGCAACATCAAACTTCCGTTAAAGGGTTCTTTCCTGTGCAGGACATGTCCTTCATCCTGAGAAAAGCTAAACCCCAAAATTCCAAAGCGGAGGCCAAACGTTAGTTTTGAACTCGAAAATCAGAAGAAAGGCAAAAAAGTGTGTTTGATTTTGTGTATTTGTGTAGTACATATAAAATTGAAGATTTATATATATTTTTTATGACAAATCGCTTTTGTAACCTACAAATCTTCAGAAATATTTAACATACTTTCCTTTACATACAGTAACATTCAATGAGGTCTCTGTTTAGGCTCTTGAGATTCATTGTGTGTTTGTGTAGTTGGTGCCACAGAATGATAGTTATTTTAGGCTGCATTTTTTTATTATTATTACAATCAGGACATTGATTCATGAGACTATTTCAATACAGTCACCACGTGCATGAGCTCGCAGGCTGTCCCTTTAAAAAATCGCCAGGCTCGTTCTGTGAACCTCCGTGTGGATAGAGAACTCCTTGTCCATATTATAACCTGGCTTCTTAAGAAACATTTCACATCTGTGCCAAATGGCCATTGCATTTCCACCAGATATGTAGTGGCCATGATAGAATTTTAAACTAGCTATGAAGCCATAGTAGTTACAATGGTAATGATCGATACAATTGCTGAAAAATCGTAGTTATTATTAAGAAGCATATCTAATCTGTGCCAAATTGTTATTGCACTCCCACGACAGAGATAGATATTATGATTGAGTTCTAAACTAGCTATGGAGCCGTATTATTGATGATGATGATTAAAATTTTTCTTTAAGATGTGATGGCACTAAAGCTTATATCCATCTGGTCTTACCGGGGTACTTTGAATTCATTGTGGGATTTGGTTCTTCAAATCTTCAAGTGTTCAAGAATTGTTGATTGCATGTGTCTGTTGCCCCTACCCCATATAGAGTGGAGCATGTTGTTTTTGAAAACAAAGTAAAGCTTTACAATCCTGGTTTCATTTTTTATATTGGTTGCATATCTTGATTTTAGCTTGTATTTCATTAATTGCATAGAAGCACAAGATTGGGCATATCTTTTATCTAACTTCATAGGGTTTTTATAATTTCTTGATTCTGCATCTGTACTTCTGGAACGTATTTTTTCATCTTTAGTAAAAATGTATCTCTAACTTGCTTCAAGTGCACATGATTTTTTCGTTAGCATCTCTGTGTCCTTTCTTGCAAATATAGAAAAATCATGACGTTACTATCTAGGATTTTGTTTCATTGGTTTTTTTTCCATGTTCACTCACATGAATAAACAACTGCTACTTTTGATCAGTGATTGTATTTGGAAATGAGTCGGAGATGGATTTCATCATTGATTAGCTGAGGTGGTTGTAGTTTTAGAGTATCTGGTTGACAGGAACTCCACTTTAGGAGTTTATTCAGGGTCAAGTCCTTTAGCTCAGCTTGTATACTGCACATGCCATTCATATGAACTGAACCATTGACATGGTATCTAACAATTTTCACGAGCTGGTGCTTCTGATATGGTAAACATCTGCTTCAGTTCTTCAAAGGTTTCCCCAAAAAAAAAAAAAAAACTTTAGTTTTGTGAGGACAATTCTAAAATGTTGCTTTTGAGATGCAAATGGAAATTGTAATAAATTGCCATTACCAAAGGATATCCATCAACAGAGTAGTGTAGGTTCAATATGGCAGTGACACTGCAATACACTGGTTTTTTTTTTTTTTTAGGCCATCGACACTGTTACTTTAGATCACACAGTTTCGTGCAAGTCAGAGTCCTTTTATCACTCGATGATGAAAATAATGGCAAATAATTTTCTTTTTCCCGTAACAAGTTTTTCACTTTGCTTTTTTGGAATCCTTCTTAAGTTGATGTTCAATTTCCTTCTTCGTACCTTTTTATTTGCTTTTGTTTTGGTCCTCCCACCCTCACCCCCTCTTTTGTTTTGTATAATGTTGATGCGTTATATTATTATAATGATAGTTTAATTGGTTTTCTTTGAATCCTACTAACTGTTAATTTTGGTTGTTTGTCAGTCTGACGTCTTCGCTGTTGCATTTGCGCTACTTGCTGCTGGTGCTGTAATATTGACACTGAATGTCCTTCTTCTGGTAGCAGTCTCTCTAATATCTTGTCAACTTTTATCAGTGTTTTTTCAGGCCAAAAGAAAAAAATCATTATGACAGTATTGCATTTCTCCCTGGGATCATTTTGTGGTGCTGCTTTCAAGGTGTCAAAATAGCCAACCCGATCCTTAAGTGCTTCATAATCAGAAAATGGGCCTTCACGTGTCTGGCCCGATCAACCCTTGTTAAGGTTTTTGGACTGGGCTGGGCTACCCCCACCCAAAAAAAAAGTATATTTTAACTTGGACAGCGTTAAATGTCATATATTCACGCCAGAAAGGTATCAAAACAAATAAAAAAATGATATTTTGGGATTAAATTCCCACCTACTTTGATTTTGTTTGTAATTTTGGGTTAGTTCCCTCTTATATATATATATATATATATATGTATATATAATTCAACTAAGAAATTTGCACTATATTCAGATTTCCAAAACCACAAGTAAATCATATTTCACCCTCATTCACCTCTTCCTCAGCATGCAAAATGGATTTTGCTTTGGATGGACCAGCCCATTTTGATAGTTGCAGGCCTTTTAATACAGCTAGGGCTGTGTTCAATCTGAACCAAATTCATTTGTTCTGGCTCCTTCTTATAAAATAAACTATTATGCTAGAATTATAGCCCTTTGCTGGCAAAACAATAAATAAATGGCTAGAATTCTAGCCCGGATTTTGGCAGAAACAAGACTCTCACCACCACCATCATCATGTGTTTATAAATATGTTGATTTGTATTTCAAGGGTGACAGTGCTAGGGCAGCAACATAGCTGACAAAGTGTGTGGTCTATTACTTGAAAATTTCAGGGTGGACAGATCATTTTCTTTCAGAGTCTGAGTCTTCTGGGGTATTGCTTGTTCCCTCTGGACGTGGGTGCTTTAATCTGCATGTTGAACGGCAGCGTCACGATAAAAATAATTGTGGTATGCATTACATTGGGATGGAGCTCCTGGGCTGCATATCCTTTCATGAGTGCTGCCGTCAACCCAAGGAGAAAAGCTCTTGCCCTGTACCCACTTTTTCTCATGTATGTATCTGTTGGTTTTCTCATCATTGCCATTGATTGAAAGCGTCCCTGCTCCTTGCTGGATTCCAATCTACCACGCAGAAACTTTTTGTCTAAAAGCACCCTGATTTTTTTCATTTTAACCCCCCTTTGTCCTTTTTTTTTTTTTTTGGTTTGGTCAGCTAAAAGTATAGTTGTTGACAGTAATATAGTATTCCTTCGAAAGTATAGTGGTATTCCTTTTTGCTGTGTTTTGCCTCCCTATTGCCATGTGAATAATGTTAGGACTGGATTTATGGCTTTGTAAATCAATATATCTTATTATGACTAGTGGGCTAGGGAAAGTAAGAAGACTGTATTCGCCCCCCCCCCCCCAAACCCCCTTTTCTGACCCGCAATGAGAAAAGTAAATTAGAATAACCTACTTTCCCCCTTCTCTCCAGTTAGAGAACATCAAAGCTTTAGTTAGCAACCCAGAAACTGATTGGAGGCTTATTTTTCTTGCTTTAAGAGGCTTATTTTTCTTGTTTTAAAAAATGTCAGCCCTAATGGTTTTTATTCCAAAATAATGGTCAAGTTTAAAACTTGTTTTTCTTGCTTTTGATTGTATGGTTTTTTTCAATTTTTTTTTTTGGCAAAGCTGACTCTTGAAAGAAGAGCATCCAAATATAAATCACATACTTTAAAAAAACACAAACTCTAATCCAGACACAGTAATTTTGCAGCTTCCACAGAAGCATGTACGTGCAGCTACATTCACTTGATGTGTATTCTCGTGAAATATTTGTGGCTTCAGAGAGTATCCAAGTTTGCTACGGGCTCTTGTTAGTGTGTTCTCGAGTCAAATGTTGGACCACCGACCATAGGACGATATTGTCTGGAGTGCAACAGTTGATTAGACATGGAAATATGACCCTTACCTTAAAAAAATATAAAACATTTTTTTAATTATTGACTATTAAAAAATGCAAAATATTTTTAATATTTTAAAATGTATTTAACATGTCTTTTTTTAAAATATTTTTAATAAATAAATTATTTTCAGGAATAATTCTAAATAAAATATTTTATTAAATAAGTATAATATAAAAAAATAGTGTTAAGCCTATTGGCATCTTTGGTTTTTGACTAAAGCATTAAAAATTGGCTATTAGAAGATGCTTCTTTGTGCTTTCCTTTAGAATTGGCTATTAAAAAAACAGTTTGGCATGTTAAAGGAGTCATGCTAAATCAATCTTCTCAAAAGAAAAAATTTTAATAATATTTTCTTAAAATAAAAAATAATTCATATGAATAAAAAACCCTTACGACAAAATTTTTTAATATATTATATTAATTTTATTTATAAATTAATTTTAACATATTTTACTGAAATCAAAAAAAATTTATTAATTATTTAAAAATAAGTTTATAATTTTACCTCAATTAAATATACATATTTTAATAATATATTACTTTTTACCAACATTAATATAAAATATAGAGAGTTTTGGTAAAGAATTAATTATGTAACTTATATACATAAAATCATTCTCTCTTTGGCTCTTCGCCTTATAAATTAGAGAGGGAAAAAAATTTTATTTAAAAGTCATGTTATTTATTTTATATTATTATTTTTTTCCCTTCTTTAAATGGAGAAAATATATGTTATTGAAAGATGTATATTTAATAAAAATAAAATTAAAAATTTATTAAATTTTTAAATAAAATTAATAATATTTTAATATTTTTAAATTTTAATAAATATATATTAAAAAGTCTTATAAATATATGTAGGAGCACGTTTATTATTATTTTGATATTAAAAAATATAAAATATTTTTAATATTTCAATATATAGTCATTGTATTTTTTTTAAATGTCCTTAATTAAAAATTACTTTATGTTTATTTTAAAATAAAATATTTTATTAAATAAAAATAAATATAAAATAATAATATTAATTTAAAAAGAAGTAATTATTTTATTAAAATATAAAGTTTAATTAAAAATATTTTATATTTTTCAACCGCGCAAGTAACAATTATTATTATTATTATTATATACCGCTCGATTTGAAGAGCAAGAGTGGAGAGTTGGGGGAGGTTGAGTGAGAGAGGAAAGCAGTGATTTCACGTAGGCATCAACAAACTGTACGGAAGAGATCAGAGGAGTCACAGAGAGAGAGAGAGAGAGAGAGAGAGAGGACCGTGCCTGTGTCACTGACCTGTTCTGTTCAGAAGCAATCTTTTGGGGTTAGCGTGATGCCATCACTCTCTTATTTCCTTCTCTCGTTTTTTATCTTCTCTTTTTTGGATGCATTTCCTTCACCGGTCACGTCATCTCTCTCCCTCTCTTTTCTTATTTTATACTCCTTCTCTGTGTATGCTATAAAATATTCTCAACCATTTCATATAATATTATAAAAAAGTAAAAAATATTTTATTGTTAAATAATAATATAACAATACTAAATATTTTTATATTAATTAAAAAATAAAATTATAAAGTATCCTGTATTTTAAATTAAAAATTATTTTTAAAAAGTATTTTATAAATAGAATTTGAAATGGTATTTATTAGACACCGTCCCTCCACCATACGTACATGCAATCCTCCGCACCCTATCCCTACCTCCCCCAACCTCGACATTAATTCATAATTAATAATTAGCTTTGGGACTTGGCTTTCTCTTAGGTCTAGTCACTTCTTGTCTCTCTCCGCGAGTCAGCATATTTAATTTCTGGTTCATTCTCGTGTGGCTTGGCTTCCAGCTCAACGTACTCCCCTCTCATTAACACATGTTAAACCAGATATTAAGTTTACTTACTTTCATTTTTATTGCATTTGAAGCAAATTAATTTGTCGATATTCCCTCCTGTCCCCATTATATTTGCTTTTTAGGAAACAAATTTTTTGGCCCTTGATACTTTATCTTGTTTAAAATATACCCTTATAATTTTATTTATAATGTATTTTCAATATGTTTTTGTTAAAATTAAGAAAAACTTTAAAATTTGTTAATTGTGTCAAAACATTTAACAATTTTTTAATTTTGTGCCAATTAAATACTCCCTCCTATTATTATTATAAGACACTTTTAACTGTTTTATACTCCCTTTATTTAAAAATGTAAGGCATTTTTAATCAAATTTTATCATAATAAAGTGATTACTTACTTTCAAACTAATTCTATCTTTTTATATTTACTCATATTAAATACTCTATTATAAATATAAAATCACTATCAATAGAGACACTTTTAAAAAGAAGATAATGATTATACCTTGAAAAACTAAAATTTTTTACATTTTTTAATATACAACTCCTCAAAAAATTTTTATATTTTTAAATGGAGGGAGTATATTTTTACCTTGATATCATTAAAAAATGATATATACTTTCATTTTCATCTTTAGTTTTAAATAATGATATAATTATACTAAATACCTTCACCCTAATTAAGCAATGTTAAATTGGAAAAAAATGATTTAATTATTATAAGATACACTACATTTTGAATCAAAAATTATTTTTAAAAAGTATCTTATAAATAGAACATGACAACATATTTTCCTTCTTCAAATTTAATAAAAGTCAAGTAAAAAAATTTGTGATGAAAAATTAATTAAATAACTCGTACAAAGGAGCTAAATAAATTTTCCCTATCTCCTTTATAAATAAGACCAAAGGAATTATGCATTTTCTCCTGGTTAACCTTGATCCAAAATATAAATAACTTCATACTTGTAATTTTTTTTATTTTACTTCTTATATTTATTAACCCAAATTTTTGTGTCTGTGGATTTATAATCTTCTTATCACTTATTATAAATTGGAATTAAGAATAAAAAAAGAATATATTTTCAAAAAATATGGATTTTATCGATATGCAAATTATTGTTAAAATTGGCTTATATTTTTTATCAGAAAGAATACAAGACACTTGATGAAGTATAAATATTACATCTATTTAAATACATTAAGTATGGATAGAATTTAACGCAAGTTTGAAAAATTATAATTTTAATAGGGGAAAAATTGGATATTTATTTTTTGGACAAAATTAATGACTTTACCTCTCTTTTGTTCCGCTAAGATTATTGGAGATACCTTATAATTGGCACCAAAGAGAGCATACTCTAACTAGTTTTAATTAGCACCTTCAAATTATAATACAAAACACTAGTAACTACTCCATTTATCTCATATTTTAAGATAATTTAAATGAGATTACACATAGCAAGAAAACATAATAATAAAACTTTAAAAATTTAATTTTTTAAAATAAAATTATAAACTTTTAAAAATGTTCTTACACTCTTAATTATTACATTATAATATCATTTTAATTTTTTATTTTTTTGAAGGATATTTAAAATGTTAAGTTTTTTTACTAATTCCTTTTTTATATTTATTATCATAAATATATTTCTGAGCCAAATCGATGTTAAATTGATAAGCATAGATATAATACACATGACTCAGCGAAACATGCTAAACTCATCAAAATTGAGGGTTGGCTACGGATCAATCACTTAAGGTCCATTTGGTTTATAAAAAGGAAGAGAATAAAACGGATTAACGACATGAAAGTAAAATTATAATGATTATCATTCAAAGAAGAAATAGGTATTTATGAGTAAGAAAGATAATTTACTTAATAAAATTAAAAATTATAATTCATAAAATTTGTAAAAAGTGAAGTGATCCTCACATTTGTAATATAAAATTATAATTTGATATTGGATTTTACTATACTCCCTCCATTTAAAAATATAAATATTTTTTTAAGAGTTTAATATTTAAAAATGTAGAAAATTTTTAATCTTTCAATATATAATTATTGTCTTTTTTTAAAATATTCCTATTAATGAGTGACTTTATATTTATTATAGAATATTTAATAAAGATAAATATAAAAAGATAGGATTAATTTAAAAATAAAAAAATTATTTTACTAAGAATAAAATTTAATTAAAAATATTTTATATTTTTTAACAGAGAGAATAGTACTTGTTATCAGAAAATAATAATTTATTTTTTTTATTTTAATTTTTTCAATCCATCCTATCTACGTTCTTTCCAGCAATGAAGCGAGTTCTTAAAACTAGGTATTGCAAGGCCTCGTCCCACAGGAATCATTCGTAGAGGCCAGCAACCTTGACAGGGACTCAGGGAGTATGGGTCTGACGAACCACGCAAATACTTTCTGTCGTTTAATTTATAAATCATATTCAATATATTTCATCACAATTAAAGAAAAA